CCCTCCCCGTCCCCGCCTCAACCGTCGAATGAGGCAAAAAAATTATCTTCAACATTGGTGTCTCTGGAGGTAGGTTCTGTGTGGGATCGGTTGGAGTTGTAGGTAATAAACTTTTTTGTCCAAATAAAAAGTTGTTGCACGTTTTATAATGCTTTTTTTATGTCATGTGCACATCGTTATGTTACATCAATACATGGTATGTTTAGGCAATACGTTACCACGTCTTGTAAACTAGAAGGCGAATTAACATCCTCGATGTCATACAAAGACATGTTTTGAAATATTTTCTTTTACAAAAACCCAGTAATTACCAAGTTTATCAGCTAATCAGTGTCATATATTTATTAGAACAAGACCAAATCAGTAACAACAAGAGAAAGAAAAAAATATATCTGACTATTTAAACACTGAAACTGATATAATTATGCTATAAAGTTTGTTTCAAGTTATTTCAACAATTCAATATATTGAGACTTAAAAGCTAACAAATTGAGTTTAGAATTAAATTCCTTTTATAAAAATAATAATTTAATTTTTAAAAAATATATAAATAATTATTAAAACAAACTTATTTTTGAAGCTACTAAACCAAGGCAACTAGGCAAGGGTAAAAATGGATCCATCCAAGTAGGGGGGTGGGGGGTGTAGAGGGTAAGGTGGGTGCGCATTACACACACCTGCGCATTTTTACTTCTACCTTTATTAAATAATTATAATTAAATAAATAAATCTTTGGTTATCACTTCTACTGCCCCGATTTATCGATACATTTTTGTATATATATATATATTAAACGTATATATATTTTGTGGTCGGCGATTTGACGGAATCTTCGTTTCTTCCTCCGCCGTTATTTGTAATCTCACCAATTTCTGAAATTGAGCCCTTAATTATATGCATCTACTCGAAACCCTAATCTTAATTTCTACTATATATAAATATTATTATGCCTTTTTATTTTATTTAAAGGTCAAGTTTTGATTTTTTATTTTTCACTTTCAAGATTTACAAAAAAGTTAGCCTCTTTCATTTATCCGAGATCTGAAGCAAACGGGAACGAATCCACCGACTGATTTGAGATCTTGGTACTGTTCAATTGCTGCTGGATGCGGATCTAGGTCAGTTTCACTTGGTGTTTTTCTGCTTGCATACTACTGTGCAAATTAAAATCGTTTTTAGGGTTTTTGAATTTGATGTTTCCCTTTATTTGAGATGCGATCTTTCAAGATTATGTTTGCATTTTGGTGGGGTTTTCATTCGATTGTCTTGTTTGGTTCGTTTCGACTATCAAATTCGAACGAGGTTGAAATCTTGTTGACTGAGTATGAACTTTCCTGAAATGGCAATTGTATTTAATTTGGGGGAAATTAGTTGGGATTTCGGTAATTAAACCTGGCTATATGAATTTAGGTGTAGATTAAGCTTCGATTTTGAAGCTTCAGTACATCATACGATTCTTAATTTAGGTAATTATTTATGTCTGTTTCATCTAAACCATCAGATTGATATTATATGCCTTCCAAATGTTCTCTGAATTCGCCATTTTAGGTGTAATGTGATCTTTATTTACGAACCCTTTTAATTCTTTTTACCATCTTTTTCGATGTGTTTCATATTTCCATTTGAAATTCTTACAGATATGTAGACATGGTGCTGCACGAAATCGGACTTTCACCGTTTCACATCGTTTACTGTCAATAGATTTCTTGAAAGCTTGCAAGATTCGAGCTTTTGGGGATGGAATCTAACATAGAAGAAGCTCTTAGAGCGAAAGAGAGCGCGGAGAAGCTATTTGCGATAAAAGACTTCACAGGTGCAAAGCAGTATGCTTTGAAGGCTCAAGCGGTTTGCCCGCAGCTAGAGGGCATTTCTCAGATGGTGGCTACGTTTGAAATCTATGCCGCCACTGAGACAAAGATAAACGGTGAAATTGATTTGTATTCAGTTCTTGGATTAGGCCCATCAGCTGATAAATCTGTACTGAAGAAACAGTACAAAAAGATGGCAGTGCTTCTTCATCCTGATAAGAACAAAACGAAGGGCGCTGATGAGGCCTTTAAGCTCGTTTCTGAAGCGTGGAGTGTGTTATCAGATAGCACAAAACGGAACTCTTATGATATCAGGAGAAATAAGCATTTATCAGCTACTGTTGCCCAATCGAACTTATCTTCGGTTTATGGAACGACTGGTGTTCCAGGTTTCGACAGTTCTTCCAAGAATCCAGCATCTGTCAGTAGACTCGACACTTTCTGGACTGTGTGCACATCTTGTCGTGTTCAGTATGAATATCTTCGGAAATATGTGAATAAGAGACTTTCTTGCAAGAACTGTCGTGGGGTTTTTGTAGCGGTTGAAACAGGAGCGGCTCCTGTGACTTATTGTCCATGGTCGTATACGGCTGAGAATGGATACGCAAATCATTCATATGCTCCTGCTACTTATATACCGAACTCGTCGGTATGTTTCACGGGCAATGGTTCTTCTGCTTTTCACTCTGCACATGGATCCGAGTACGCGAGTAATGTATCCTTCCAGTGGAATACTTCACCCGGCGCTTCGACAGGTGTTTCCGATCCTAATCTTGTTCATAAATCCAATGGAAACACGAGTAGAGCAAAAGCCTACGCGAAACACCAGATCAGAAATTCTTCGGCTAATACGGGCACCAGTGAAATCCCTGCTGTTCGACTTGGTAGGCCTCCTAAAAAGAGAAAGATCGAAGGGGCGGAAGGACCTCAAAATCCAAATGGGGAAATGTTATTCAGAACAGACCCTGAAATGGTGGTTACTAACGGAAATATTATCAGCGAAACGACTTCCAGATGGTATCCCGTTGCCCCTGCTTTTGATGCAAGAAAGTTATTGATTGACAAAGCTAGATCAGTGATTCGATTTAAGTTAGAAGAGATGAAGTTAGCTTCAAAGAACGGGAAAACGCTGAAGAAAAGTAATTCTATGCCAATAACTGTTCCTGACCCAGATTTCCATGATTTTGACATGGATAGATCGGAGGAAGTATTCAAACCGAAGCAAATATGGGCGATATATGATGAAGAAGATGGGATGCCTCGCCTTTACTGTCTAATTCGCCAGGTTATCTCTGTGAAACCGTTTCAGCTCTACATTAGTTACTTGAACTCAAAAACCGACACTGAATTTGGTGCTGTAAAATGGATAGAATCCGGTTTCACTAAATCCTGTGGAAGTTTCAGGGTTTTCCATTCTGATATTGTTGATTCAGTCAACATCTTTTCTCATCTTTTGGGACGAGAAAAGGCCGGTAGAGGAGGTTGCGTTAAAATATACCCAAAAAGAGGCGATGTATGGGCTGTGTATCGTAACTGGTCCGTTAACTGGAATCGAAAGACACCGAAAGAAGTCAGGCACCAGTATGAAATGGTGGAGGTTCTTGATGATTATTCTGAAGAGCTTGGAGTGTGTGTAACTTCACTGATGAAGTTACAAGGATACAAAACAGTTTACCAAAGGGACTCGAACAAAAACGCAACTCGGTGGATTCCGAGAAGAGAAATGCTACGGTTTTCCCACCAAGTTCCATCGTGCGTGCTGAGAGGTCAAGCGCTTAATCTACCAGACGGGTGTTGGGATCTTGATCCAGCTGCAACCCCAGAAGAGCTTCTTCGGGCAGCAATGGAGGCTGAGGACAATATTGCAGGTGTTGCCATGGAGGATTGATGTACAAACAACCTAAAGAGAGAATTGGTGTAAGAATTTTAGATAGCTGGAAGGGATCATAAGATTGATCCACGGCGGTCAAAGCTCAGAGAATTGTTTTTAGAGAGGGTTACTGTTTACATGTTGGTTGAGCTATTTGTACCATCTTTAATACTTTCAAGAATGCATCTTCTTAACAATTAAGTTCATACCATCTTAATGCTGCTGCTATGGCTACCATTTATGGTTCTTGAATTCACCATTTTCAACTGCCACGAGCTCTCATTGGGCGGTTGGTTACAGGGTTCTAGTTTCCGAGTGCAGCCAAGATTCTTGGCTATGACCCTAGTGATTAAGAATGTGTGCTGAATGGGGTTTCAGGTGATTCTATGTTCTGAATCACTATTCGATTAATCCATTAGGGTGTTGGGAAAGGAGATGGTGTTTAATAATGCAATGTAATGCCAAATTCAAGATGAGTTGCAGAAGGGTATTCTGCAAAAATTTAAGCTGCATTGATTGCAGTGAAACTATTATAACCAAAAAAAACCCTACCACAAAGAAAAGAGAAAGAGTATGTATTAGTTTTTCATTAATTTATTCACATATGATTAAAGTTGTCTGTGTGAATAAGTACAAACTTGTTTTATAACATACGTTGACATGGGTTATCATTTGTTACCTCTGTGGTAGGATAAAAAAGCATAGGGTCGTGAAAAGTGTCACCGTATCATTATGTTATGTGTAACCGTATATATTTTGAATAAGCTGTTTTTTATATCATTAAACCACTACCAAATAATAATATGGGTAACTGATCGAAAAAACTGTAAGTCAGAATAAACTAACAAAAAACATGTCATAATTTGTTAGTGTAACAGTGGAAAACTAAAGGCATCAGAAATACTAATAAATTTTGTTATTAAAAGATTAGATTAGAAAATAAAGGTTGAAGATGGTGACAACACTTTTAAATCATTAGATTGAATTTGATCTGCTTATTTTTTACGCTTTCAATTATATATTGGTAAACTTTTGCTTTTAATTTAAAATGTATTTCTTATTTTATAATCTAAAATAAGTATAATTATAATTGAAGCAAACCAATATATATATATATCCGGATTTTTCGATAGGGTGCATAAAAACTCGATCAATTTGACTAAACGGACTCGAAATCACTCAACCCAACCCAATTTGAAACAACTCGCTACTTAATCGAGTAGTAAAATCTTCAAATCATAGGTATAGAGTTAGTGATGCTCAGATAAACACTTTTTTTTTTTTTGACGGACAGATAAACAATTACCAAGTCACTTTATCTTACCAGATGAATATGCAAGGATTGAGAGTCTTACACAGTAAGTGATGACGACGACTCTTACCACAGTTAGCACTTACCGGATAAATTGTTGCATACAATGTCGTTTTGGTGGACTAAAACCTTACTTAGTAAGTAAGTAATAGTGTTAAATTTTACCAGTAAGTGCTTACGGGGTAAATGTTTGGTAAACAACCCCTTAATATGATTTTGAAGTTCTTTATTAATATATGTATATTAGACATTAAATCAATCTGTAATTAGCTCATTAAAATTTATATCACAATTTCAATCGTACTTCTAATTCCTTATTTGCATTAACCTTCAACTTTCTTATTTGAATTGTTAGTCTTATTTGTGTGTTTTTATTTCGTTTAAACACAATTGCTTAGCTAGATTGTAAAATGATTACCAAATTACAGCCAACCAAAGTGAACTATATTAGTGGTCTCAGTGCTATGCTCTAATTTTAGATTTGGTCTCTAAAATAAACTATCTACACCGAAGGTTCTTAACTTTTTAATTTCATAACACTCAAGGTCTTCCGAGTTAATACTGTCAGTTAACAACTGTTACAAGGGACAAATCAGTCATTAAGAAAACTACAAGGACCAAAAGTATAATTCGCTCTAAAACTAATTGTGACTCACGCATTTCTTTTTAAAATTTATTATTAAAAATATTTTAAATACGATTAATGTGGATAGTTATATATTAAAGTTTGTTCATTAGGACGTATAATTTTTGTTATAAAAAAATAATTATGTTTTAAGAGTTAAAATATTGTAAAAGATTATTATATGAATTGTCGAATAATTGTGAATGATGTACAACAATTAAATTGATATAATAATTAATATTTTTGTTAACTGTATTTAAATATTTTTCATAAATAAATTTAAAAAAAAATACGTGAATCACAATTAATTTTAGAGTGAATTATATGTTTGATCCCTGTAATTTACTCAAACACTGATTTTTCCATCCTAACGGTTGCTAACTGACAGTGTTAGCTTCAGGGACCTTGAGTGTTATGAAATTGAAAAGTGTACAACCATCAGTGTACATAGTTTATTTTGGGGATTAAATCCAAAATTTGAGGAAATCACAGGACCAACTACTGTAAATCACTCTTTGTCGTTGTTTGATAAACATAAGCTAGTTTATTTTTTGAGTAATCATTTGAATGAACATAGGCTAACTTAGCTTATAAGCTAACTTATTGATAAGATATTTGGAGTAGTTTATGAGGAGTTTTTTTGACACTTTTTTCAATTGTAACTCTAATTATTATAAATAAATATAATTATTAATAAATATTAACTATAAAAAATATTAGTTATTCATAAAATTTAATTTATAGTGATTAAAATTAATTAAAATTAATCTTCTTGTCATTTTTTCCCACACTGCTTTCCCCATGAACTAGAACAAAGGAAAGAGAACAATATTCGAATATCAACGATCAAATAGGATAGCACGGAAAAACGAGAAAGAGTAGGAGCAGGGCGGAGAATCTTTTTTGATTCCAGCCGAGAAGACTAGTAAAAGGAAGGATCAAGAATGTTATATATTTTAGGAGCCAGATCAGTTGCCGATGAACAAGTCAGAATTGCTTCAACAAAAATAGATGGAATTGTGCCTAAAAAAGCCATTATGATTCGGAAGAGAATGAAACGCATGCAGTGGTCATTACAGCGATTCCTTCTAATCCTAGAAAACGTCCGAAAAAATCTGCTACGGAACTACCGAGAAGGGGCAAAAATATGAGAAGTAGATACATAATTTTGAATGTGATCAGACAACCTTACTTATACATGTCGAGATAGTTACTACCTATATGTTCTGATTCTTTTACTGCAGGAAAGCCATTATCCCAAAGCGTATATCGAGATTGAAAGGCAAGCAGAAGTGTTGAAGCTGTAGATGGTTCTCAGCTTGTTTCCTATCTTCCTATTGATTATTTATAAATATTATTAACTATATCAATTATGTTTTTAATTACTATTCAATATATTTAGATATCAAAAAGC